ACCCTTAACGGCTTCCTTGAGGTTGCTGCCGCTTACTAAGCAGTATGGAGATGTCACAATCCATTTCCGGGGCTGCCGAGAAATGAAAAGTAACAGACAGGAATTGCGTCAGAACATAAAGTTAATATTTTTTGCATTTGGATTCATTTAATACACCAGTGCTCAAACAGGGAGAGGTACCTTTGCAGATTTAAGGATGATATTTTGGGGTCAGAGTTGGATGATAGGATCGTGGTGTTATCAGTAAATGCAGCAAGGAAAGTATTGGGATGAGCATCTCTGTAAGCAGTAAAGAGGATGTGTAATGTAATGAGGATGTCTGGCTTTAACTGGATAGATATTGGAAAATTCTGTTCCACAGCGAATTTGAAAGAAGCAGTCATAGAGGTAGAATCGAAAGACTGGGAAAAATTTATTTTAAGCTTGAAGAGCAATCTGGCGTGCTATAATCGGTCAAAAGCCTGTGCTATGTCCAGAAATGCAACCAAACAGTATTGCTTGTATTCTAGGGATGATGAAATATGGTCAACATCTTGTAGTTCTTGTTAGACAGCAGGATGCCGTGAGTGAAAACTGATGGAAAGGAAGATTTAAGAATTCTATAATAGGTAGGATTCATTTCAAAAGGATCTTTTCAAAGATTTTTGAAGGAATTGGGAGTAGGCTAATTGGTCTATAGGATGTCAAGCTGCTGGGAGGTTTGCTTGGATTTAGAAAAAGGATAATAGAGGAAAGTGGAAGTAAGTAGTGCAATTATAACATTCAACTGCTTTAGGAGGCAGGGAGAGTGGAATAGATGATTCTAGGAATTTCTTTATTGTTACAGAGTGTGGGTGGGATGGGATTCCAGATGGGGAATAAATGTATTGGAGAGGTTTCTGGTATACATTTTTTCTCTTAGGACTCATTTCTAACCTGCAGTGCCATTCATAGTAATCTGTCTCAGTTTTTGACATTCTTGGCAAAAATTAGCGTTCGTTGACCACGGTTATCAACCATACCACTTAACTAAATTATTAAGTTTAGGTACCAGTTCGAAGCAAAATTTAGGAGTTATAGATGAAAAAACAATATAACATTTAAAAAATCTGGCTTTTATGGCTGCAAAAAGTTTACCCTTGTTGGCCCGCGTTAGCAATTTTGTTTTTTACATGAATAAACCCACATACGCAAGTTAAAAAAATAACAACTTTTCCCGTATTTTTCACAATAAATTTCCCATTTCGATCATCAGGTTACTAGTCTAGTATTCTTTAAATCAGCCACCATTTCTTCATGTAGCATGATCTGAATGGCAGACTCTCATTTTTTAAATATAAATGTTATGGATATTCAAAAAAATATCCAAAATTTTGATCAGATAATGTCAATTTTTTCGCATGGGCTCTTGGACTGTAAGGGTATTACTTCATCCTCCCATACTGGCATAAAAAGGTCTTGAAATGCCTTCACCAGTTCGTTTCCTCCATATCCCAGGGTCCATAAATGTGGTGCAGAATTTTTCTCAGTCTACAGGTTTCTCAATCTTCTCTTCACTAGGTTCTTAGTCGGCTTCCATGTTTCCCACACCAGGTAGCTCTGTCGTCTTCAGGGTTGACATTTGGGTATGAGTCAGGAGTTCTACAAAGTTTCTTCTCCATTCTGCTAGGAATTCCGACTTAATTGTCAGAAGACAAACTTCTTAATTCAGGTAAGAGGTCTGGATACTGGTTAAAGGTTTTCTGAGTTTATTTATCCTGCAAAATAATTATTTCTATCTATGCAGGATTTATATTTTCCGCAGCTCTTCTAGCTCTTTCTTTTTTGTAAGATGAAGCCTCCTGTACTACAAGGGCTGCCAAGTTTACAAAAATATCAAAAAAAAATTTCGAAAACCCGGGAGCCAAGAAGAAATCTCTAATCCCAGAAGAGGACCTGCTAAAATAGTAGACTCTAAAGTTTCTTTTTCCCAGTTACTAGGGGGCAGAGCCCTGACTGACAAATGTGAGGCCCTGCCGCAACAGGAACCCCAATCCCAACTTCAACATCCTATCCCTCATAAAGTACAAAACCCTCAACAACCTCATCAACATTACATTCCTCCTCCATCACAAGCCATAGGCCTTACCAGTTTGTTGGCATCTTTCCTCACTGAATTCAAATCCCTTGTTATCCCACTGATATCTCTTCTTACAAATCTAGTATCCCACCTCATCCTTCCCTTAAAAAATCCTTAAATGATTTCCTCCAAACCCTTATCCATTCTCTTTTGGAATGCAAATGGTGTTAGAAATCACACTGACGAACTGACAGCTCTACTACTAGACAAGAACGTTGATGTAGCCCTTATTACGGAAACTCGACTGACCAAAAAACAAACTTTAAAAATACCAAAATACTCCACATACCGTACTGACCATGCTGACGGTAGAGCACATGCCGGCACTGCAGTCATTGTACACCAATCCCTCTCTCACCTCCTACTCCCATTACCTACCCATGATTTCCTGCAATCCACAGCTATCATAATCAAAACCTTCTCCTTTCCTATTACCCTTGCATCAGCGTATTGCCCTCCAAACCAATCCATCTCTAATACCCAATTCAGTTCCCTCCTCAATTCCTTAGGACACCATTTCATCCTGGGTGCAGACTTAAACGCCAAGCATCAATTATGGAGCTCAAGAACCACAAATTCTCGCGGCCGAAGACTGCTGTATGCACTCAATTCCCAAAGTTTTAACCTCGTTCCCCCGACCTCATATACCTACTGGCCCACTGATCCTAACCGCAATCCCGATATCCTTGCTTTCTTCATCCACATTGGTTTAGGTTCCCTCAACTATTCCATTGCACGCCTCGATGAACTTTCCTCAAACCACATTCCATTAATATTCCAAGTATCACCAGCTCCTATTCCTAAATCCCCTCCACCGTCATTAATCAGAGGTCCAGTCAACTGGAAACTCTTCCATCAAATCCTTTCCGATACAATTGACCTCAGAATAACTCCTGAAAACTCCTGAAGACCTTGATAATGCCGAACACTCCTTTACCACCACCATTCAACAAGCAGTCTGGACTGCTTGCTCCACTAATCATTCCCCACTAATTCCTAAGAAAAATAAGTTACCTCAACACATCCTCGAGTTAATCCAAACCAAACGCGCACCAGAGTGTTATGGCAACGCACCAGACATCCCACAGATCGCCGTTGCTATAATTATTACTCTAAACAAGTTAAGCAAGAATTATCCAACTTCAAATCTTAATCCTTTAACTCTTACCTTGTCTCTCTCTCCGCTCACGACAATTCCCTCTGTAATATCAACAAAAAAATTCTAAAATCCCAAAATATTTCCCATCCCTTCCGTCGAGGCGATGGATCCTGGGTGGCGTCTGATGAAGACAAAGCTGAGGAATTCGCCAAACACCTCTCCTGTACATTTACTCCTCATCCTGAATCCCATTCCATCCATACTACAAAAGTAGAAAAATTCCTCTCCTCACCAATTTCACTTTCCTTACTACCAAAAGCAGTTCATCCTTCTGAGGTCAAATATCATTTACAAAAATTATCTTCCTGCAAATCTCCTGGATAGGACCTTTTAACTCCACAGATCCTTCATCAACTACCACCCAAAGCGATCATATTCCTCATATATATATATATATATATATATATATATATATATATATATATATATACAACTGCATCCTAAGAACTAACCATTTTCGTCTCTTATGGAAATATTCCACCCTCCTGGCAACATTCACAGATGACACAGCTATCCTATCTTCCAATCCAGATCCTAGAACAGCATCCTCAAACCTACAAAGTCACCTTTCTCTTATTGAACATTGGTGTAATAAGTGGCGCATCCAAGTAATTGAATCCAAATCCAAACACATCACTTTTACCCTTCGGCGCAAGTCCTGTTCACCAGTCTAGTTCAAATCCATACCACTTCCTCTCTCAGACACAGTACGGTATCTTGGCTTTCTTCTAGATAAAAGGCTAACGTGGAACCCACATACCAGACTTAAAAGACAACAACTAAACAGATGATTTGGACAGCTATATAGACTAATGAATAGAAAATCTCAACTTTCAGTCGACAACAAACTACTAATCTATAAGACAATCCTGAAAATTATCTGGACCTACGGACTAGAGCTGTGGGGGTCAACAAAACCTTCTATCACTAAGCGCATTCAATCTAAAGTCCTCCGAACAATAGTCGATGCTCCCTTCTATGTATCCAACAAAACCCTCCATAATGACTTTCATATTCCATTTGTTATTGACCTAATCCCAGACAACTTTTCCAAATTTCACCAGAATCTCACTCATCATCCAAATCCTGTAGCACAATCCCTATCTAGCTCCAGCCATTTCTATAATCCTCCCCGGAGGTTAAAACGGCAGTGGCCCCGCGACCTTTTGTAAATATGTATATATTGGAGTACTGGCAATGGCCAGATTCTCCACTTATGTCCTGAGCATCTGCTGCTCTGGTGCCCTCCATCAGTCTCCACTGGCTTGCAATACCAGTGACGCGGCTGGGAGAGAAGCGCTGGGATCACCCGAGGTCCTGCCTTGGCTTCCACATTTGGGGCACAAAGCATGACTCAGAATCCTCTGGACGAATGTAAATATTGTATATAGGTGTGAATGTGTTTTATATATTTCAATTTCATTTAGCTTTTCTCTTACTTTTTTTTTTGTTTTTACCAATGTATGTTAAACTCTTTTTCTTTTATCTCTATTTTAGTTATCATCTGTATGTATATATATTCGGTGAATGTTTAATGTAGCCCTAATATTAATGCCCTCCAATGCGGCAGAATGTATTAATTTTCAAATATAAAAAAAAAAAAAAAAAAAAAAAAAAAAGCCTACTAGTATACAATCAAGCTTGACAATAAACAAACACACCACAAACGAAGATCTGGATTAGATGAAATGGTTATTGTAATTCTGAGGCCAGCTCAGAAGGAATGCCATTCTCCGTGGTTTGATGACGAATGTGCAAGTGCGATTCGTCAAAAAAATGTGGCATATCATGAATGCTATAGCTCAGAGACTCATTTTTACAAGCAGACCATTCAATGAGTTCTGCAAGGTCACAGGTATTTTTCACAAACACATTGCACCTGGGCATCCCTATCTACCAACGGATCAGTGGAATGCATGTCCAGACTTTGAAACACAGGCTGGGAGCAATGAACGACAGGCCTCTGACAACACATCGAAAAGTAAGAGAAGTCCTGTTTTATTACAGGGCTTCTCCACTAGCCAATGGGAAGTCACCAGCTGAACTGTTCCTCAACAGATAAATCCGTACTCAACTGGATGCTATAAAGCCAATTATAATTCTAAAAAAATCAAAGCTATCTAGATCAGCACGACAACTAAGAGTGGGAGACTGCATATTGGCTCGCTATTATGTGAGCGTTAAGCCTGCCTGGAAACCTGTGACAGTTTTAAGAAAAATGGATCAAACTACATTATATTGTCAAATTAGACAATGGCTTTATGTTCAAACATCACATCGATCAATTAACCAAGTCTGAAATACAGAAAAAGAGTGACATTTACAAACGAAGCTGAGTCGTATACTACAGACGTTCATCATCAGCCATGTCTTAGAGACATTGTGACATTCCCGAAACCGCTTCCAGTCCAATCGTCGGCTTCTTCATCAGCAGAGAATTCACCTCCATCAGAAATACTGCCGTCAATATTCAACGCTAATGAACATCTACATCATTCTTCCAGGCTTCATCACCTTCCAGGTTATTTGAAGGACTATATAGTTCCTAAACATTTAAAATAAGTGGAGGAGACTATATTTAATGTAAAATGTATAGGTGACATTATATCAATATCACCAGCTATTATGTATATTTTAACATGTATATATGTAAGGGGAACTCCTAGAGGAACACACCTCCCTGATGAAGACCTGCAAAGTCGGGTCTAAACGATGGCTTTCAATAAAATAGTTTTACCACTATTTAGCCTTTTTATGACCGCAACCCCGGACCATCTCCTTCCTTGATTATCATTTAGTTAATAATTTATAAATAATAAAGAATACTTTTTATGTTTACCAACAAATAAGAGAATCCCGAACGAACAAAAAAAAAAATTTAATTAAAAAGAATAAAATGAATGAAAATAATTTTATTATTCTGGGACTAGTGTCCCTTTAGAACAAGTATCTCTTGAGAACCCGAAGATAAAGCGGATTGAACAATTCATAAGACGTTTAAATTTAGCTTCGAGTTCTCCCGAGAGTCCGCCATACACCATGCAGCCATAGTCGAAGTGAGGGAAAATGAGAGAGGAGACCAGGAGTTGACAGGTTTTGAACGGAAGAAGATAACGTAGATGGTTAAACTGTTTCAGGGTGGATATAGTTTGGCAGGAAATTTGAGAGATGTTTGGTTTCCAAGAGAGGGTTTGATCGAGGGTAACGTCAAGTTCCTCTAATGCCATCCTGGCATTAGAGGAATCCGTCGGGTTGAAGGAAAGATAGATCGGCATATAGGTGATATTGACAGTGCATGATAGAGGAAGGGAGGTCATTGATGTAGATGGAAAAGAGGGTGGGGGATAATGAGGAACCTTGTGGGACGCCTCTGGACAGAGGTAGAGACATTGATTGAGGGTTATTAGAAACTACAACATACTGGGAGCGATTGGTGAGAAAGGATTGGAACCACTTCAGGGCACTAGATGATAAGGAAATATTTTTAAGTTTGGATAGGAGGATATTATGGTCAACTGAGTCGAATGCTTTAGAGAAATCTAGAAGGATAAGGATGGTGAGTTTCTGTTGGTCTATGGCTGTGTGGAGATTTTAATGAGGGTGGAATGAGTGGAGTAATCAGGTCTAAACCAGTCTGGAAGCAGTTCAAATGGTTATTTTGTTCGAGATACTGGGATAGTCGGGATTGTACTATTTGTTCTAAAGGTTTGAAAAGGTTAGATAACAGAGAAATTGGACGGAAATCATTAGGGGTTGTGGGATTAGAGATTTTGTTCAGTGGATGAACAAGGGCGGTTTTCCAGGTGCTGGGAAAAGTGGAACTTTGTAGTGAAAAATTATAAATATGATAAAGGATCGGGAAAATGGATGGGAGTGAGGATTTAATTAATTTAACTGGGATATTATCTAGTCCGAAATCTTTGGTTTGGGATTTGCAAACGGATTTAAGGAGGTTGTCAGGGGTAATATGCGAAAAGAAAAAATTATTGGGATTAAAGGGGGAATGTATGAGGGGTGGAGCTGTTGCTTGGACAGAGGGATAGGATCAGAAGTCACCGATAGAAGAGGAATGAAGCTCGAGGACAGCATAGCCAGATGCCAGCTGATAATAGTGAATGAACCTGGCGAGCCCACGTTTGTGGGACCCAGGGGACAAAGCTGGATTGACATAACGCTGGCCTCAGCTCCAATGATGAGACGAGTGGCAAACTGGGGCCTCAGGTCTGATACGAGCTCGGACCATGGGACCATCATGCTCGATGTTGTGAGAAGAAAAGAGGAGAGACGAGCGGAAGGGGAGCGTGGATACGTCACAAGGTCGGCGGACTGGGCTCGGTACCGTGGAGCGCTGGAAGACATCCTGGTGGACAGGGAGTGGGAGGAACCGCCAGAAGATGACGAAGCGCGCGGTATCGAGAACAGGATAAACGTGCTGACAGGCGCCATGAGAGACGCGGCAGAGGCCTCCCTTCGGAGGAGGAAGGTGAGGGAGAGACCAGTGCCGTGGTGGACGCCGACCTTGACGGCGCTGAAACGGGAATATCACCGGGCTAGGCGGAGGTGCCAAGGCTGCAGGAACGAGGAGAGAAGAGAGGTGCTCCGACTGGAAAGCAGGCGCACGCTCAAAGAATACCGCAAGGAGATGCGCCAGCGAAAGAAGTCATCCTGGGACGAATTCGTTGAAAGGGAAACGGAGAAAAATCCTTGGGGGATACCGTACAGGGTCGCACTCGACAAGGTGAAGCCAGCCCAACTCATGGCTGCCATGAGAGTGGGCGGTAGACAGGCTGAAACCTTGGAAGAGGCGGTGGCCATGTACGTTGATCATACGTACCCCAGGGACGATCCGACCCTGGACACGGAGGAGGACCGGATGATCAGAAGGACTACGGAGTATCCTCCCGGAACGGACCTGTGCGAGCCGTGGGACATCTGGGACCTCCGTCTGGCGATAGAGAAGCAGAAGGTAGGAAGGGCTCCGGGACTCGATGAGATCGATGCAGCGATCTTGAGGAACAGTGCGCCTCAAATAGAGGACGAACTTCTGGCCATATGCAACCTGTGCCTGGACAGAGGGCACTTTCCGTATCAATGGAAGGAAGCGGACCTCAGATTGCTGTACAAAGGGGGAGGTAAAGATAAAGAACAACCTAAGGCCTACAGGCCCATATGCCTCCTCCCGGTGATCAGCAAAGTCCTGGAGCACTTGATAATGGAGAGGATGAAACCGGTGCTGCGCGTGGCGGGTCATCCTCGGCAGTTCGGTTCCACGAAAGGGAAGGGCACGGCGGATGCGCTGATGCAGATGAAGCGGGACGTCGAAGACGCGGAGGAGAAGTATGCGTTGTTGATACTCTTCGACATATCTTCTGCCTTCGATAGCGTCTGGTGGCCCGTTGTGATGCAGAGGCTGCAAGAGTACGATGCCCCCAGCAATCTATACTCCCTCGTGGGCAGTTACCTCAAGGATAGGAGAGTGAAGATCCGGGGTAACTCCTTCGAGGTGGAGAGGGGGATCGAGAGAGGGTGCCCGCAGGGCTCGGTACTCGGGCCAGCACTGTGGAAACTAGTTTTTGATCAGTTGCTTGGCGAGTTGGAGGAGAAGGGGTACCGAGCCATTGCATACGTGGATGACCTGGCGGTGCTGGTGACGGCAAACAGCAGGGCCAGAGTGAAGGAGGAAGCCGAAGGACTGGCCATCCTAGTAGAGGAGTGGTGCCAGAAGAGGAAGCTGAGGATGGCGGCTGAGAAGACACAGGCGATGCTGCTGAAGGGGAAAACCGACAGAGCCCACCCAATCAACCTAGACATAGGTGGAGCGAGGGTGCGCGCGTGTGAGGAGGTAACGTACCTAGGGGTGAGGTTCAGAAGATCATTCGACCCCAGCCCACACATCGCGTACCTGAGAGGAAGGGTGACCACCACACTAAATGGCCTGTCGAGGATAGGTAGTGCGTTCTGGGGGGTCAAGTACCCAGCGACCAGAACAATCTACAAAGGAGTAGTATTAGGTATAATTAGGTACGCATCGCCTGCGTGGAGTCGGCGGCTGACAAAAGAGCAGCGTGGAAAGCTGGCAACCACACAGAGACTGGCCCTGCTGAGAGTAACAAAAGCTTACAGGACGGTGTCGCACGAGGCGGTCCAGATACTGGCTGGAGAGATGCCCATTGACCTGATCCTAAAGGAAGACGTAATCAGGTTCGATGTCAAAAGACACGGACTCGGTTCGCTTCCGGAGGGATTACGGCAAAGGGCTGAGGAGGAGCCAGGAAGATGGAAGAGGCTGGTGGAGGAGGACTCACTTCGGGAGTGGAACGAGCGGTGGGTGAGAAGCGAAAAGGGTTCTACCCTCAGGAAGTATTTCCCCACCGTCAGTTCCAGAATGGAGGCGAAGTGGGTGAGACCTGACTACTGGACGTCTCAGATCCTTACGGGGCACGGGGGTTTCAGAGCCAAGCTGAACAAGCATGGGAAGAACATCAACCCCTTGTGCCCCACTTGTGGGATTCCGGACACGGCGGAGCATGTAGTCCTGAGCTGCGAAAAGATGGCTGGGCACAGAGCTTGGCTATCAAGGATGACAGGGCTATATGCGATGGAAGAGGCGGACTTACCGAGGCTGATGAGCGAGGACTTCTACCCCTACTTCACCGAGTACATCAGGAGATGGAAGGAGGCGGTGGGCCCGGAGCACTTCACCCTTGGGAGAGGACGCCCGCCGGAAGCCGTAGAGGAAGCGACGGAGGAAGAAGAAGAAGAAAGAGAAGGTGCAGTCCCTTCCTAAAGCGTGCAACCGCACGCTGGGCTGCACCACAGATACCCTATATTGTCCCCAAAAATATAAATATCCAAAAGCATGTATAAATATAAACATATAAATAAAGAGTAAAAAAAAAAAAAAAGAGTTTATTGGTGGCAGTGGCATGCGCAAATCCATGTGCACTACCCTACTGTCACCGAGCCCCGTATGCCAGATATGGCCAGGTAGGGGGTAAAAAAAAAAAAAAAAAAAAAAAAAGAGGGATAGGATGAACAGGAAACAAAATGGGTGTTGAGTATGTCAGCTGAAATAGAGGTAGTATGGGTTTAGGTGGGTTTGCCTAAGGATAATTTACGGAAGATTGCCCACATTGCTTTGGAGTTTGTTGGTAGTAGTGGGATTTGGCACAGCGTATCATGGATTGCGTACTGTTTCGAAACAGCTTGAAATTTGTGTAGTTTTCGGGGAGTCGAGTCCGCTTAAACCTTCGCCTTGCTGCGTCTCTTCGTTGGATACAATTTTTATCGCAGGCGTCAACTAAGGAGCTGAAAAGTTTCCAAAGCATTTTTTTTTCTGCTTTAATGGGTAGAACATAGAGTTTAAATTACCTATTTGGGAATCTAGAACTATTCAAATGGAATCAAGTACTCTCAAAAATATCTGAGTTTCCATCAAGTGATACATTAAGAAAATGCCTAAGAAAATGTGTTTATTAATTATTGGATGCGTTTCTATCTTCACAGCCAAAACCATTATATACATGGCAATTGACAGTAAACATGTAGGAATAGGACACTAACAAAGCTAGAGTGAGAAAAGCTCCAGTTATATATGCCGCCGAATGTGAAAATACCCTTGATGTTACAAGTAATACTAGCCTCAGTGTACTTTTTGTTATACAACTTGGTTAAATCAATTTGAGATGAGTGAGCTAATTTAGTAATCTGTTGGCGATACTTTGACATAATAAGTTCTAAAGCATTCTGTTGTTCTTCTAAAGCAGCTCTTAATTCACGATTTTCTTGTTGCAAATCACGCAAATGTCTATTTTCCTAAAAAAAAAAAATAGTCTTATAAAATGATTCCATAATTTATACCCAAAAAAAACATTTATAACAAATACGATTAACATTAATAAATTCCCTTAGCAATTAATTATAATTTTGTACCCATGCAAAAAATTTCTTTTATTATCTTATCACTGCAAAGAAGCAAACATTGAAAAAATTAATCAATATTACCGTTTTTAACGCCGCATATATTTTTATCTTTCTTTTTTTATTATTTCTTTTTATTCTTAGCGTTCACCCTTTTTTGAATGTAAATTGAATATAAGAAAATGTTTATTCAATTTTTTTTTTTTTTTTTAAGCCAAGAGATAATTGTCTCTGAAATGTATTTGATTGTATATTATTTAAAAATTGTGCTTTTTAATATTATTAATCACAGTGATAACAATATTATTAGTAGATAAAAAAATTAAAATAAGAAACTTACTTGCTGTATGCCAGCAACAAGTGCAGCATGAGGTCGATGTTTAGCCATCTCATTGAGATCGTTAACCTCATCAGCATACTATAAAAATAAAATTATTTGTTTAATGTAGGTTAAGATGAAACCTTAAGCTCTCATGCATTAATAAAAAGACTTCTAAAACACCTCAAGCAACAAAGCCTTGTCTCGTCATTAAATCATTTTAATTATTATTTATTTGGAGTAACATAATCTATCCAACTTCAGACTTATAAAAATAAATAAATTATTAGTAAAAAAAAAAGATCTGGTCTGAACAGAAATTCAGGATGAGATAAGTCAATTTTGCTTATTATCATAACCTCTAGGGGGTAGAGTAGCTTAGCAAGACAGTCCGCTCCTATGCTCCAAATCCCAGATTCGATTCCTGTAGTGGAACGACCCTGGGGTCAAGAGATCACCTACACTCAGGCTATATGAAGTAGGCACCCTTAAATAAATAATTTATGAAGAGGAAAAACTTGGCAGGGCAGTCAATGCTGAAGCATGATCTTGAGCAAATCACTCCCTTATACAAGCGTTGACCAATAAACAGTACTTCCTTAAAAAGTACTGAACCCAAGACCTTCCGTGGGTGTTAGTGGTATATTTTTGGTTTAATTTTGTTATCTAGAAACTTTGCAAACACATTATTATAATGAGTCTTCTGTTTACCTAAAAAAATATGATTAATACTAGGTCAAATCACTAAAAGAGAAAATACTTGGCTGTCTGAGCTCCGGTATTGGAATATTTTATCAAAAACATTTATTATCTAATATTAAATTATTGGATGAGTCAAGGTCATGGTGGGTTTTGAGCGTGAAAGATAATAGTTCTTATCTAATGTTAGGGACTGTCTGCTGGAGCCTATCAGCAGACATTGAAGCTGGCATAGATCTATTTTGAGACCAATTAAATCATCTTCAGGAAATATACAAATATAGAGCTATTGTTATCAGTGGTGATTAAAACTGCTGGATTGGCAACTTCAATCCTTCTGAGGAAATAATTTTTGACAATATAGACCTTGTTTATCCAAGAGCATCTTATGATTCATGCTTAATAAACATGGGAAGTATTGATTGAATTTCTGTTAGAATTCCATTTTGAGGTTTATAATGGACAAATCAAATCTGACCATCCAGAGGAGTAAACATTTATTTCACATAGGGGAATGAGTCTTGTAAATCTTTTAATTGTAAATCATATTCCTCTGTCTTTGGTAGAGCAAATGTGGAAAGTAAAACCTTCCAATATATTTGATTATAAACTTATCTCAAATTGAAGGTGTCTACTAATATTTCTGGCTAGATAATAGTCGAGACGAAGGACAGGCTTGTTGCTCAGAATTATGGATACTTTAAATGGAACTCAGAAAGAATTCATTGAATCTCTTCAAGGAAACAAAAATATTTATTACTATAGTGACGATCCTGAGGACCTGAAGAAAAATGGGTATTCTGCTATGGTAATCTCTGCAATGGATTGTCAAATTCTGTTTCATCCAAGGAATTCTCCTAACCTTCCAAACAAGAAAGTTTGGTTCAATGAGAAATGTAGAGAATCCCAGAGAAAAGTAAAAATACTAAACATAAAACTAAAAAGGAGTAGATATGCAAATAGTCTTTCCTTTGTTAAGAATAATAGGACCAGTTGTACGATTGGAGTTTAAAATGACGTTTAACTGACCTAGGTTTAATTTGAAATAAGTTCATATCATCAATTAGTTGTATGATTATAGTTAACTTGATCTCTGCTCAAGGATCAGTTGGCAGCATTGAAGTGAATCATTATTTATCATCCACCTGTTATTCTCTGTTTTGATTGTCAGAATGTTTGTTATTAGAGTTGTTTGACATGTAAAACCTTAAAAGAGCAAGAAACTTTAATTATAAAAAGGAATAGTTACTATTGAAAGAAAGAAAAGTAAATTTTATCCTGATATTCAGTCCCCTAAGAATAATTACGATGAACAATTTGGTGACATAAAAAGATGATCAATAATTAATTACATGGTTATCGAGCTGAAATTAAAATGATAGAAAGGTACAAGTTAACATTTGAATCATAGAACATTGAATTATTGACACTAGTGAAAAAGTATTCCTAAATTCTGGAATGCATATATGCTTGAATAGGAGCACAAAGGATATAAATTAGATTTACTCAGCAAGAAAACTAATGTAGAATTGGAAATATTAAAGCAAGGAAATGCTATTAGAAAATGAAAGATGGAGGAGAAACATAAATTAGGAATGGAAATATTAGTATTAAATATATACAAAGTTGATTTGTAATTTATGGTTATTTTTTTCTTGTTCCTTTAGAAGTAGAACTCTTTAACCCTTCATACATAGTGTACCTCTAGAGAAGAATATACATATTTGTTAGAAATAAAGAAAGTTAAAAATAAAGAAAGTTAACCTCAGACATTACCATTTGGGTTTCTTTATTTGATTCAGACAGATACGTGCAGTGCATTTACTAAATTTGTACATAGACTTAGGCTTAAAGGAAATTATATTGCATTTTTTAAAGATATGTAATTAATCAGAATGAGAGATTTACCTCTAATTATGACAAATCATAGTCCTCCTGACTATGAAACTCCTGTGGGACATCATGCAGTCAGTTGATAAACTTTTTTGATTTGATTTTATTGAATAAATTTTGTTGAAATGTCAGTGGAGTAGTAGCAGTAAACTGGTATTATATATTTGAGTATGTGTGTATATATATATATATATATATATATATATATATATATATATAATATATATATATATATATATATATATATATATATATATATATATATATATATATATATATAAACAAAAATTTCCCTCTACTTACGGGACACCCTGTATGTATATGTGTATATATATATATACATATACATATACATATTTTTTTTTTTACTTCAAACAATTTTAGGTGGATTAATTTGTTTTATTTCCTTTATTTACTTTTTTTTCCACTGATTTGCCTTTCAGCATGAGGATGCTTCTAACCACCAGTGCCATAAGTTTCTGTCTTTGGCAAGGTTTCTCATTTCTTCCAAGTGGGTGAAATAGGAGGTTTTGGATGTCCTTGATCTTTTTCACCAACATCTCACTTCCTTAGTTTTAACTGGGTTTCTGTGGTGATCCTTATAGCAGACATGCATATACCACCTCAGTTGCCTTTTCTCTAAAGTTTCAATTAATGGGCGTACATTCAGCTCTTCCCTAATCCTCTTATTCCAAACACAGTCTCTCCTTGTTTTACACACAATTCTCTTAAGGAACTTCATTTCCTAGGCAGTGACACAGCTTAGCAGTTTCTCATTCATAATCCAGCTCTGCACTTCATAGAGAAGTACTGATAGGAAGACAGACTTGAATAAATGAAGCTTTACATCCTGTCTCACTTCTCTTTTTCCGATAACCAAGATACAAATATGGTAGTAAAAGAATTTACCTTGGAGATTCTGCTTGAGATTTCCGAATCTACTTTACCAGAACTACTGATCACTGTGCCAAGTTATGTAAAATCTGTCACCACCTCCATCGACTCTTCACTACAGAAAATCTGGACATCTTGAGATCTAACAACTTGGAGGAATTTGCTTTTTTCGTAATTAATAGTCATTTGCCGAAATGTCGGCATATGTAAAAATAAATATTATCATTTATTTTTGCCTTCCTTTTTGACTGACCACCCCAACTATTCTTCTCTTCATTATCCACGACATTCAACCAATTACCAATTATAACAGTCATTTTCTTTCTCTTCAGTTCCTCGTTCCATTCCATATAAAAGAATTTGTATTATCATTTGTCACATAATGTTCCATTAAATTATTTACTTGAAGTAACAGTGCGAGATATAATAGAAACGCTGTTAAGTATATCCCTGTTTCCTGTTAACAAATTATAGAAGTGTTTCAAGTCAGGACGATATCGGTCCCCGGCGACCGACACTAGTTATGAAATTCCTAATGGCCGGAGACATACATCAGCATCAGTTTCGAGGTATACCGCTATCTTTTGACAACAAAGGTGAACTAAATTCTCTACTCAGATACCGTAGAGAAATAATTTTTTATCAGTCTAGTACGGTCTCAGTCCCCGGCGCCAGAAACTTTTTGTCAGATATAATGATTATTTACGCTTGTATCTTTACATCTATCCAACTCCCATTCAAATATTTTTAAAAATTACCATTTTAGAGACTTTGTAAGATAGGCAAAATTTGAAAAAATCCAGGCATTTGGTAGTCGAGATAAATATTGGACCTCAGGGACCATAACCGCAGATAACGTGTTAATCTAAGCTTATTTATATATTTTGCCTATATCTTATATTTTTGGTGTAATTTTTAATGCTGATGATAACTCACATGCTAGGGTCAAGTCGGTGTGAGTTGCTTCCAGTAAGCTGACGCCGGCCTCAGATACACCCAAGGAGGGGGGAGTCTCGGGCAGCATGCTGTGCAGTCATCCGTCCAAGTAATAACCACGCTCGACGATGCTAAACTTTTAGCCCGTATGGTTATACCGGCCCCCATATATATATATGGATTAGTAAAGTTACATAAAAGTGGTGCTCTACTTAGTCCTATCATCAGTAATATCAATGGGGAAACAGAAAAATTTGGCTAAATATCTTAATTCCACAGTAAAAAGTAATAGCTATATCTGAAATAATAATTTAAAATATTGCGTACAAATAAGCACATCAAAATAAAATTTAGTCAAATGTGGATACATTTATGCAAAAAAAAAAAAATTTTTTAAAAATTAGGATTAAAAAAAGAAAATAATTTACTAAAATTTTAAAGAAAATATGAAAATCACAAAAATTATTTTTATTTTGTGCTACAAACACGAACTTATGCTGTACTTAAAACACTTCTATAATTTGTGAACCGGGTACAGATAAATTTGCCTACCTTTTGATTATATCTCCTATTTTTTATTGTTACTTCAAATGCACAATGACTTCAAGTAAATAATTTCAAGGAACATAATTTGCAAAATAATATAAAAATTAATCCACTTAAATTTGTATGAAGTA